CCAGAGCCCCTTCCCACCCCTGGGGCGACTCTCCATCCTGTTCCAGAAGCCCCTCCTGCATCCTTTCTTGTGTGCCTGAGACCTGACCTTAAAGGCCCTCGACACTGGATTGAAATTGCACGTCTAAGAGAAGCTTCAGTGCCCGTTACCAACAGCCCGGAGGCAGAGCGGTCCCTGTGTCAGGTGCGGTGTGGGCATCGCCAGGAGCAGCAGGAATGCACACTGACCTGGTTTAAGACCTGCTCTGCCACTTGTAAGCTGAGAGTGGCTCCGGGAAGAGTCCTCCAGGGGTCAGGGGCAGCTACTTCCCCTCTCTGCAGGGCGTCAGGTTGCAAGCTGTGTAGCTTGTGTCTGTATTTCCTCTTTGGAGAAATGTCCACTCAAATCCTTTGCCCATTAAGAAAATTGGATTCTCTGTTCTTTTTATCGTTGTGTTATTGAAAGTTCTTTAAATAGTCTGTATACAAGACTCTTACCAAATAGATGATTTGCAAATGTTTTCTCCCACTTCGTGGATTGTCTTTTCACTCTCTTGAGAGTGTACCAAAGTTTTAAACTTTGATTCAGTCCAATCCATCTATTGTTATTCGACAGCTTGGGCTTTTGGTGTCATAGCTAAGAAATTGTTGCCTAATCCAGGATCGCAAGATTTACACTCTTGTTTTCTTCTCAGAGTTTCATAGTTTTAGCTCTTACATGTAGATTTTTGACTCATTTTGAGTTAGCTTTTGTATATGGTATGAAGTAGGGGTCCAGTTTCATTTTTTGCTGTGGATATCCAGTTGTCCCAGCACCATTTGTTGAAAAGGATGTTCTTTTCACACTGAATTGTCATGGGACCTTTGTTGAATATCAACAGACCACAAATGTAAGGGTTTATTTCTGGATTCTCAAGTCAGTTCTGTCCATTTATATGTCTGCCCTTTTGCCAGCACCGCATTGTCTTGATTGCTGAAGATTTGTGTAAGTTTTGAAATCAGGAAGTGTTAGTTCTGCAACTTTGTTTTCTTTTTTCCAGATTGTATCGCCTATTCTGGGTCCCTTCCGTTTCCATATAAATGTTAGGATTAGCTTGCCAATTTTTGCAAAGAAGTCAGCAAGAACGTCGAAAGAGATTGTATTGAATCTATAGATCAATTTGGGAAGTGTTGCCATTTTTACAATATTAAGTCTTACAGTCCATGAACGTGGGATGTCTTTCCATTTATTCAATTATGTTACCAACCTTGCATCCTCTGGTAAATCCCAGTTGGTCATGGTGTGTAACCCGTGTTCTGTATTGCCAGATCCAGTGTGGGTTGAGAGTTTTTGCATCTACATTCATAAGGAATATCTGTAGTTTTCTTGTTTTGTCTTTCCCTGGTTTTGGTATCAGGATAATAATTGGCCTCATAGAATGGTGTGGGACATGTTCCCTCCCCTCTCTTGTGAAACTCTTTCACAAGAGTTTGTGAGGACTGGGGTTCATTCTCCTATGCATGTTCTGTAAAACTCACCAGGGAAGCCATCTGGCCCTGGAGTTTTCCATGTGCAAAGTTTTTGGTTCCTTAATCTCTCTGTTTCTTACAGATTGGTTCATAATGTTTCTCTCTTCCTGAGTCAGTTTTGGTGGTTTGCATTTTTCTAGGAATTTGCCCGTTTCTTGTAGATGATCTTACTTGTTGGCGTACAGCTTTTCATAATATTCCGGGATGTTCCTTCTTACTTTTGTGTACTTAGTAGTAATGTCTCTTTTTTATTCCCAATTTGAGTAGATTGTCCCCTCTCCCCACCTCTTTTTGATCAGTCAGCTAAAGATTTGTTAGTTTTATGATCTTTTCCAAAAAACAAATTTTGGCTTTGTTGAGTTTATCTATTTTTTCTCTTCTTTATTTCATTTATTGTCCACTGTAGTCTATTCCTTCCTTCCTTCTGCTCAAATTAGGCTTCGTTTGCTTTTCTTTTCTTTTTTTTTAGTTTCTTAAGGTGGAAGCTTTGGTTATTGATTTGAGCTCTTTCTTCCTTTTTAATGTAGGCATTTATAGCTGTAAACTCTTCCCTAAGCACTACTGTTATTGTATCCCATATATTTTGGTATGTTGTATTTTTGTTTGTTTAAAACATCTCAAGATATTGTTTCCTTTATGATTTCTGCTTTGACCCTTCGATTATTTATGAGTATGTTTGTTACTTAATTTCCAAATACTTGTGAATTTTTCAAGTATCTGTTTATTATTGATTTCTAATTGTAGTCCACTTTGGTCATATGACATACTTCGTATTTCAATCGTTTTAAGTCCATGGACACTTGTTTTATGGCCTACCACGTTGTCTGCTTTGAGGAATGTCACATGTGTCCTCAAGAAAAATGTGTGTTCTGCTGTTGCTGGGTAGAGGTTCTGCAGTGTCCTTCAGGTGTAGTCGCTCACAGTGTCATTCAGGCCTTCTGTTTCCATAGAGATCTTCTGTCTAGTTGTCTAGTGGTCCTAGCCATTACTGAAACTGGAGTAGTGAAGTCTGCAACTATTACACTGAACTCTCTTTCTCCCTTCGTTTCTGACAACTTTTGCTTTATGTATTCTGTGGCTCCATTATTAGGTGAATATATATTTATAATGGATTGACTCTCTTATCAGTATAAAATATTCTTATCTGTCTCTAGTAACAACTTTTGTCTGAAAGTCTATTTTGTGTGATAATACTATGGCCACTCCGGTTCTCTTTTGTTTACTCTTTGCTTGGTAAATCTTTTTTCATCCTTTTCTTTCAATGTTTTTGTGTTTTTGAATCTTAAGTGTGTCTCTGGTACACAGTATATGTTTGAATCTAGTTTCTAAAATCCATTCTACCATTATCTGCCTTTTAATTAGAATGTTTAATCCATTACATTTGATGGTATACTGATAAGGCAGGATTTACATCTACCACTTTGCTGTTTGCTATATGTCTTACACCTTTTTTGTTCCTCTGTTCCTCCACACTACCTTTTTTTTTGTTAAGTGAATTTTTTCTAGTGTGCCATTTTAAATTCCCTTATCATTTGGATGAGGACTTTGCCCTATGATAAACAACAGGGAGGCTGTCCCCTTCTGCTTTCAATGTGGTTGCATGAGCAGGTGATGTGTGCAGCTGTGGCAGCCTTTTTGTGACCATGAATCAATAAGTTTAGGATAAAAGATGGCAGAGCCCAAAGAGAGAGCGCCTGGGTCTTTGATGACATTCTGAGTGCTGCACCTACTCTGGGACCATCTGGATGCCACCTGGATTCTGCTCTGGCAGCACTGCAGGATGCAGCAGGGGTGGGAGGTGGGAGGTTGGGACCAGCCATCTGGAATCGGGCCACAGAGGGTCAACTGGTTCACAGTTGAATGTACCCTTCCACTTTCAACAATTAGGACCTGCTCAGGGTTCTATGGCTCTAATCCTAATCTATCCAAATGCTTCCATCTTTGCAATAGTTTTCAAGAAGACTGGATCCTACAGGTGATCCCATGGCAGGTGGTTCCTCCTGCCCCTTTTCAGCCTGACCCCTGCTCAGGTAGGTATTTTGTTCCGTCGTATACACAAGAAACGGGGACTCAGAAAGATCAGTTACCTTGTCGAGGCCAGCCTCGGAGTCGAGGCTCAACCCGGTGTTCTCTGCTGCTGAGACTGGGCTCTATTGGCTGTGCTCCCCTTGCTTTCAAGACCAAACCTCCTGGCCCCCCAGACTCCACCCTCCCTTCTTCATTTCCTCAGCAATAACTGCCTGCTGTCAATACTGCCACCCCCGTGGGCCCCATGAGTCCAGTTCAGATCCCCAGCATGAGTTCCAGACCAGGGCTGACAAGAGTCGCGATAACTCAGTCGTTTCATGTCGACTTGATGGAGAGGGGACGGTGGGAAGGGTGCTGTGCTGGGGGGGGTGGCAGTGGAAGGGGACAGAGAGGAGGAGGCTCTGCTGGAGGTGTTGGGGGGTGGATACCAGTCACGTTGAACTCAGTACACGGCAGTAAGGGCGGCAGGGAGGGCACAGCCTGGCACGGGGGACCCTTCCTGCTCAGGCGATTTGGGGAAGATTTCTTGAAGGAGGTTGGGCTCTGGGAAGGGGATCCGGGGATTCCAGGTACAACAGGTGCTGGAGCTGTGCCCAGAGGCCCCAGGGCATGCAGGAAGCCCTCACAGCGGTGGCTGGACACACAGCTCCAGCAGGACACCCATCCTGGCGGCTAAAGCCTTCCCTGGTCGGGCCATCCTGTCTCTCCTCTCCTGGGCATGGCTGTCCCTGAGCCGGCTCCTTGCTGCCACCTCCGCCGGGCACGGCTGCCCACTTCGTGCCTCCCCATCGCCCAGTTTTGCCCAGGAAGCCTCCCGAACTCTCTCCCCTCCCCCCACCCCAAGGAAGTGTGCTTGGACAAGTCCTTTGATCTCTCCGGCATTCCACTGTGTCCTCTGCAAGGAACAGTAGTTTGCATCCAGTGCCATGGGCGTGGGTGGCAGAGATCATGACACCTGAGCTTAGCCAGGATGTAGAATTCCTTTCAACAAAAAGGTCAAGTTTCTCATCACAGAAGTAACAAAACCACGTGGAAAATAGAGAAGGTCCCCTGTCATCGCCTCCCACAGCCGGGACATCCAGTGTGAGTGCTTCTGGAGGACGTGCTGCCTGCTGACACACAGGCAGGTGACACAGGTCACGCCTGTCGGTTGGAGGCTGAGGGGCTCTGTTGTTACTGCAGCTTCACACACCATTCCACCCATTCATTCCCAGTGTTGGACTTTGTAGCTGTTTGGTATATCCGCAGAGCTGGGCAGCCCTCCCTGCATTTAGAAAATATTCATCACCCCAAAAGGAAGCCCTCTACCCTTTAGCAGTCACCTCCGTGTCCGACTGTTTGCTTAACAGTATTTTACAAGCATCTTTTCCTGTTTGCTAACACTCTCTTGAAGCACCTTGTTTGGTGGCTGCCAGCAAAGGATGTGGGGTGAGGGACTGGCACGGCCAATGTATTCTTGGATGTGAGTGTCGGGTGCCAAGCCTCATGGAGCAGTGTCTGGTGTCGGGGACCCGGGGCAGAGATGGGGGAGGGATGGTGGGTGCCAGCGGGGGGTCAGGGACCAGCTGGGGCGACTTTGTCGGGGAAGAGAAGGAAGCTCTGGACGCAGAATCGCACCACGTAGGGATTTGGCTGTGGGGAAGGACGCAGCGGGGATCAGCCCACCTCCCAGGGTGGGTGAGGCGGGGCGAGGGGAGCGCTGTAAGGTCAGTGACCGAGTCCCAGAGTGGGGGAAGCGGGGAACGGGTCTGGACAGAGCTGAAGATGAGCTTGGTTTTGGACTTGCTGGCTCGGGGCCGGGCTCTCCGGGCGGATGTGCAGGCAGGGCACGCAGAAGGCGCTGGGGCTGCCGGGGAAAGATTTTGGAGTCTAGGTTGAGGCACATGTGAGGACTGGGGAGCCGGAGCCGACCCGGGGTGGGTGTGAGGGGAGCAGGGGGCTGAGGAGCACCGGCGTTGGGGGCTAGGGGACGAGCGAGGAAGTGAGGACGTGGGGCAGGCAGATCTGCGAGTAGGGGGCTGAGCCGGCGGCGGGGAGGCCGGCGCGGGTGCAGGGATGAGGGCGCGGCGCGG